AAAAAAAAAAAAAAAAAAAAAAAAAAAATCTCAGCTTAAATAACTTCTATGATGCCTTCACTGACTAAAGACAGTTTTTTAAATTAACTAATTAATTATTAATTAGGTTGTGCTGGGTCTTAGTTGCGGCAGGCAGCCTCCTTCGTTGTGGCAGGTGGACTCTTAGTTGCAGCATGCATGTGAGATCTAGTTCCCTGACCAGGGATCGAATCTGGACCCCCTGCATTGGGAGCACAGAGTCTTAACCACTGTGCCACCAGCGGAGTCCCTAAAGGTAGTTTTTATTTTATTATTTTAAAAGGCTGCAATATTTAAGATATATGAAAAGGTATAAAAAATAATTAGTTGCCTGAGCACCCATCTTTAGAAACCAAACCTTGCTGACACAGGTAAAAGCACCTTATATAGCCCAGTGGGATCACTTCCCTACCCTTGTGCCCAGAGAAGCCCTATCCTGTATCTGGGGGTTTTTGCTCCATCTTGCTAGAGTATTTTGCTGATACTTCTACGTCGTTGCGTCTTTCCCACTAGACAGAAAGCTCTTGGAGGGTAGGCATTGTATTATTGACCTCTGTGCCCATAACACGTATCGCATTATACCCAAAACCAGTGGTTCTCTACCTTGGCTGCATGTTAGAATTACCTGGGAAGCAAATGATCTTTAAAACCAATGGCCAGGGTTCACAGAGTTCTGATTTGTTTGATATGGGGTGAGGCTTGGGCTTTGGTATGCTTAGAAGCTGTCCTGGGTGATTCTGATTTACAGCCCCTGTAGAGATCCACTAGTCCAAACTATGTCAGGTTCCTTTACTGTAATAGACCACCTTAGTGCCCACGCTTCTTGTCAGTGCTTATCTCAAGGGTAATTTCAATTATTTATTCCAAGCTTAGTGAGGGTAGACTTGCTTTGTCTTGCTCAATGCCATCATAGTGCCTGGCATATAGTAGGTTCCAACTCGTTGAACAAATAAACCTGAGCAGGTTCATTGATCATCCAAAAAGTGTATGGCTGACAGGGGACAGCGTGACCATATTACCAGATTGTTGTTTTCACTGCTAGTGCAAAGCGGTTATCACAGACTGATATGGGAATGCCCAAACTTCATTTTAGAGGATAGATTAATTTATTTGTGCTTCCTGACAGTGGCCTTAGGAAGAAATGGGGTTGGGGTTTGTCATTATCTTATAGCTACCACTTCACCTGGTTCTTGGGACTTCCCTGCTGGCGGTCCAGTGGTCAAGACTCAGTGCTTCCATTGCAGGGGGCACGGTTCAGTCCCTGGTCAGGGGAAGTAAGATCCTGCATGCCACACGGTGCAGGCAAAAAAAAAAAAAAGAAAGAAAGAAAGAAAGAAAGAAGGTTCTTGTAAGGGGTGGGTGAGCAGATCTCTAGGTGTTTCATTAAGTCTTCAGTTTTCTTTATTTTGGGTCAAAATCTGTAAGGGAGTCATCTGTAAATTGGTTTCTGACTTTTGATTATAGTCATTTTTGAGAATGACTTGGAGTTGCATCTTGAAAAGCTTCTATTTAAGTGATTCATTCAAGTGTATGTGGTTTCCTTGGAGTAATGACTGCTTCCCAAATTTTTCTTACTGCAGCACATTTGTAAATTTACATGTTAGTCTTGAAAGTGTACCTGGGATAGAGTTTCCATTCAGTGGTGCAAAATGGATATAGGATTAAAAAGCCTTGATCTGGTAGAGGTTAGCTATATCACTGCTTCTCAAACTTCAGCATGCATTAGGAATCATCTGGAGATCAATTAGAACAAGATTACTGACCTCTACCCAGAGAGATTCTGATTCAGTAGTTGTGGGGTAGGACCCTAGAATTTGCATTTCTAAGAAGCTCTCAGGTGGTACTGTAGTTCTAAAGACCATACTTGAATAACAATGAGCTTTGGCAGTCCTTTGAAAAGGGAAGAAAAAAATGACTAGACTAGGAAGCCACAGTGGCAACTTGAATAATAGTGGTGGTGACTTACACTGTCGTTTGACTCTTGATGATCTGGAGGGAGGACTGTGGGTTGAAAATGAAGGAGGAGAGACCTTGGGAGAGACAGACTGCCTGCAGCTGTGCCGCCTGCAGTTTATTCCGAGGTTAGGGCAGCCCTTGCGTTGCCAGCACACCCTGGGAGCTCT